CCTGCTCTGCTTCTTGCAGTAACTCGGAGGGCTGAGTAACATCTGTGTTAGCCCATAGAAAAGCATTTTTGCTGAAAGAGCACAGTTTTCTATTAAGATTTGGGCTGGTGTGTGCCAACCAGAGGCACATGTCATTAGAGATTAGAAGCTGCTTAGCTGAATAAGATAACACACCTGCTTGAGCTTTCTCTCGAGGTCAGTGCAGGGAGTTGGTTAGCTGACTGGATGGCTCCTTGTTCTGCCTTTTGCCTGAGAAATAAACTCGGGGCTTTTTAGTGTTGACCTTCAGTCCTCTCGGTCTATCGTGTGTTTCTGTCTTCATTTCTCTTAATCTAACTTTTCCTCAGCCTCAGTGCCCCCCCTTCGCCCCTGGAATCCCAGCTGATTTCTGCCCTCGTGACAGGCCCTCTAGTCTCTTCCTCCTTCTCCCGGCCACACCATCACTACCACAGCCATCGTAGCTTGAAATCAGACAATTTCGTGGCTTCCTTCTCAGGAAAATTAAACCGTGAGACATCAGGATTCGAGCTGAATAAACTTGGGTACTGGGGATTGCATTTTAAACGCTCCCATCAAAGGGCCATGAGCTAAAAACAAAGGGGGGGGGGGGCTTGATCATTAGTCTGCTGAAGAATGGTGCAATTGGGAGGTGGAGCCTTAAGGTAGAGCTTTAGAGAAGTGGATGCTTGGGGAGGTGGAGCCTTAAGGAAGTGGACCCTTGGGGAGGTGGAGCCTTAAGGTAGAGCTTTAGAGAAGTGGATGCTTGGGGAGGTGGAGCCTTGGGGAGGCGGAGCCTTAAGGAAGTGGACCCTTGGGGAGGTGGAGCCTTAGGGAGATGAAAATATGAGAGGCAGACCCTTGAGGAGGTAGACCCTTGGAGAGATGGGGGACCCTTGGGAGGTTAAGCCTAGCAGAGGAGGTGTGGCTTTGTCAGAGTGGGAATGGCCTTGTTGGAGGAAGTGCTTCATTGTGGGGGTGGGCTTTGAGGCTTACTCAAGCTATGCCCAGTGTGGCAGGGGTCACCTCCTGCTGCCTGTGGATCAAGACTATACCTCTCAGCCCCTTGCCCAGCACCATGTCTGCCTGCCTGCTTCCAGGCTTCTTTCCCACCACTGATAATAACGGACAAAACCTCTGAACCGTAAGCCAGCCCCAATTAAATGTTTTCTTGAGTCGCTGTGGTCATGGTATCTCCTCACAGAGATAAGAAACCCTAAGACAGTCCAAGGACTCCCAGATGGCACAATGGAGCTTTCACAATGGAGCCCATGGGTTTTGTAGCCCTGCTTGGGCTCAGGGCTTTGTAGCCAATCAAGTACAGTTTCTTTATCAGTAACAAGTAAAGTCAAACCAGGTGTCCCCACAGTTAGGGAAGGTCATCATCACCCTGGGCACAGCTCCACCAGTTTCTACACAAGGCCCAGCATTAGACAATGAAGTGGCTTTTGTTTCCCGGTGTAGCAATCACACTTAATGAGAAAGTCTTGAGGTCCACAAAGACTTCCAAGGGTGTATGCTTGCAGGCCCAACTTCCTGGTAGTGGCCCGGGAATTGGAGCCTCACTTTGGAGTTTTGTTACTGAACTCAACACCACTAGGCGGTAACTGTGTGGGCAGTAGAAGCCCTGACAGTCAGGCTGGCCTAAAACAGCAGAGGGCCCCTACCCTGGACATAACCTTCAAGGCAGAGACAGTCAGTTTCTGCAGGCACATTACAAGCTGCTGGCAACAACCAAGAGTTTCTATAAAAGTATTGTCTTGTCTAACTGTAGGGGCAGGCTTTGAGGTCTTATATATGCTCAAGCCACGCCCAGTGTCTCACTTCACTTCCTGTTGCCTACAGATCAAGATGTAGGACTCTCAGCTCCTTCTCCAGCACGTCTGCCTGCCGCCATGCCCCACCATGATAATGGACTGACCCTCTGATCTGTAAGCCAGCCACCCCAATTAAATGTTTCCCTTATAAGAGTTGCTGTGTTCATGGTGTCTCTTCACAGCGATAGAAACCCTAACTATTCCCATCTTCCTAAAACATGTTATCAACTGTACCAGACACAATGAAAACAATTAAAAACTATGTTCAAGAGGTTATGGATGGTCCCCCCTATCTTTAAACCACAGAAGATAGTAACATCTTTGAAATGCTTCTGCTGTCATTGGAAGTGTGTTTAGTAAGATCAATTAGAAACCTGTAACCATGTGCCAGAAGGATGCCTCCGTGGGTAGAGGTGCATGCTGCAGTGACTGGCAGCCTGGGAATCAATTCCGGCAAATTGCCCTCTGTCTTCTACAGGCTTGTCATGGCATGTGCACCCCACCCCCACAAACACGTGTTCACAAAATAAACGGAATATTTCTGCAAAGCTGTAGCCATTATAGAATACTGAGAACAAGGAGTGGGATGCAGAGGAGGATAGAGAAGGCTGACGCGATGGAGGAGCACCGGACGTTTAAGCGTGTCCCCAAAGTTCTCACACGGGGAGCTCAATCCCAGTGTAGTAGTGTTGGAAGGCAAGGCCTCACGGGAAGTGTTTGGGTCACAGACACTACCTTCGTGGGTCAATTAATGCCTTCATTTCAGGAAGGAGTGTGGGGTTGTGGGTTTCTTATAAAAAGAGAGTTTGGCCCTTTCCTTGCTCTCTCCTTGTACTTCTGCCATGAGATGAAACGGCAGCAAGACCTTCACCATACACACGTTCCCATGGCATTCCTCACGGCCTCCAGCACCATGAGAGATTGTTACAAATGACTAAGTCGAGGTGTTCTTCTACAGCAGCACACACGGTCTAAGACGGGGAGCGATGAGAGGGGTCGAAATTACACGCCAGAATGATAGTGTGGGCTTCATGAAGGCCAGAGTCCCAGTGACCCAGCCCCAACAACAGAGAAAGGACCCACTGACCGCGAGTCAGTACACAGCCTGACTAGTACAACCACAAAAGCAGGTTGGAGCCAAGCTGTATCGGGTTCCCGTGGAGAGGAGGACAGAGGCACTCTTGAGGATGATGTTTTCCCTTTTCCAGCTGCAGGGGGATCAGCCTCTGGAGGCTTAGCAAAGGGCTTTTATTGTTATACAGTTCAGACCTTTAGCTGTCAATCTCCGGCTACCAAACCCTCTTATCTAAGCTCCCCAAAGAGACAATGCCAAATGCTAATTCTCAGTTAAGAGAGGGCTCAGTTTGCCTGTCCTTCCCCAGCCACGTTTTGAGTAGGCTTTGAACCTTTAGGAAACTCTCAGAGACGACTTACATATTTCAAAGGGAAGGTACAGGAGACAAAAAGTAATCGTCATAGAAGGCAGGTTAAAGCAGGTGCTAACACTCCAGAATCAAAGCAGTTGCATAACTCTGCAGGAACTCCTCTAGCAGGTAATAAAAAGGTTGATATTTACATAACCCATTTGTCTTAAAAAAAATTAAGAGGGAACATTTCTGATCAAACCTACATTCACATACCTATTTGTTAGCCCCGTGGGAATGAGGAAAGGGTCACTTATGTGTGGCTTTACCACAATACGGTTTGAAGATTCAACCAATCAGCTTACATCAGGCTACTGAGCAGCCGAGGCGTCAGTACCATCCAGGTGTGCTGTGGTGTGAGCGGACTGCATAGTTAAGGATCCTTTTTTTTTTTTGAAGGGGGGGGGGTGGGTAGCAGAGGGTAATGGGAATTGAACCCAGGGACTGATACACAGAAGGTCCGCGGAGCCGCAGCCCTAGCGGTACACAGTTGGTCAAGAACGCAGAGTGAAGCTGCTCCCTATCACTTTCCCCTGACCCTAGGGACCTAGCCAAGGAAAACATCCCTTATGCAACCGCGAGATGCCTCTGTTTAATCACAGTGAGAGTGTCACCGTTCTGAATTCTATTTTTAAAACACAACCTTGGGCTTGGTTGCTGGCTGCTGACTTCTATTTCCCTGTTCTGAGCCTGGCCACTGGTCTTTACTTGCTTCATACATCTGCCTATGTTCCTTGGTCAAACAAACGAACAAAAGTAAAAATCATCCCGCGTGTGAGGAAATGCATTAAGGTTTAAAACAAGGATTAATTTTTAAAAATTATGTGTCTGTGTGTGTGCCTACTAGCCTGTATGTGCATCATACGCTTTTGATCCCCTGGAACCGGAGTTACAAGCAGTTGTGGGGCCCTACACGGGTGCTGGAAAACAAACCCGTTCTCCTCCACAAGGAGAGTGTGCACTCATAAACACTCTCTGGCTTCCATTCCCTTTAAGTTTATTTTAAAGATAGGGTCTCACTGTGTAGCTCTGGCTGGCCTGGAACTCCTTTGGTAGATCAGGTTAGTCTTCAACATCCAACTCACACAGATGGACCTGCCTGACTCTCAAATATGTTATAAAGGGCATGTCCCAACATGCCTAGCTACTGAGAATATTTTATGAGTCAGCCATCGTTTCAGAATGAATTCTAGGAAGTTCTCAGCTCTCTAGAGACCATAGTGGTGACAGAGGGGATGGTGGTGCCTGTGTGTCCAATTCTAAAGTACCCACACATAGGCTCTCAGGCTTCCCATGTGTCTAGAGTCTGGGTGGATGAAGGGAAGGTTAGGGTCAGGGCAGTGCCCACAAAGACTGGGGCTGGACTGGAGGGTCCAGGGAGCAGCCCTCTCCCGTGGCCACCACCGTAGCACGCCCACCTCTGCCGCGTGTCGCAGACCCAGGCTCTCTCAGGCTGGGAGTTCACTTCAGGCCCCTTGGCTGCCGACTGCTCGCCTAGCGCTCCGCCCGGGACCGTCCATCCAGGAGGAATGACGCATTAATGGTCCTGACGCAGAAGAACGACCATCGAACTCGCCTGGTAGGTACGCCTCTCGCAGCGGCAGGTTGACCTTCCCCGTTAGCGAGCCCGCCGCCCCGAGACGGGCGAGCAGCGCATGCGTACGCAGGAGGCCGGGCACCCGGGAAGCGAAGCGAGCCGTGGCGCGGCCGCGCCCTCGAAGAGTCCTAGCCCGTGGACGACGCATGCGCGGGCGGCGCGGTCTTAAGGGCGGCCGCGGCCCGGGGCCGCCCAGTCGGCCTGTCAGCCGGCTTCTAGGTGTGCTCCTGCGCTTGCGCGGCGGCGGTGCCGAAAGCGATGGCGGCGGAGGAGGAGGTGGACTCGGCGGACACCGGTGGAGGGTGAGGATCGCCCGGGACTGGAGGACGACGTGGTTTGGGGGCGCCCCGAGGACGAGTCACCGCTCCGGCTTCCGTCGGACGCGGGCGCCACCCTTCCCGGTCCGTCGGGGCTGAAGGCCGCGGGGCTGCGGGGAGAGCGGCGGTGGGGACGCCCGGCCCCGGCGACCCCGATCGGCGACCCTGCCCGCCTCGAGCGCGCGGAGATCGGAACCCGGCGCTGGCACCCGGCGGCCTCCCCTGGATGGGGAACCGGGGGTCGCCTGGGTGGGGCGTGGGCATGTGGCCCCGGAAAGCGTCTGGCTTCCGGGAACCTCACCAGGAGGTTGACAGTCAGCTGTGCGAGAGCGCGTCCCTGCGTGGCCCGGCGCCTTGCGCTCGCCCGCGTCACGCCTCCCCGGTGCCTGGTGCGCCCCTGTGACCAGGCAGCCAGGCGGTCAGGCTTGGCTAGACAAGCCGGCCCCAGCAAACTTTTCGGCAGCAAACTTTGTGGGAGTTGCGGGGCAGATGCCTAATAGGAAGCCTTTACATGTTTTTGGTTTTGGTTTTGTTTGAAACTGTGTTTGTAGCCCTGACTGGCCTGGACATCTGTGTAGACAAGGCTAGCTTCAAATCTGCGGAGATCTTATCCTTTTTCCTCTGTCTGCTCAGTGCTGGAGTCAGGTGTGAGGCACCACACCCCACTTTTTGGTAGACTCATTTTAAGTTATTCTTGTCTTTCATATATGTCACGCCGTGTGAGCAGAGTAGTAATTGTTGGAAAAGTTAAACTACTGTGAAGGTTATTGCATCGATTCTCAGAAGTCTGCTTTTTTTGTATGGACAGAACTATACATGTCTCCCTTATGGATATGATGGTAGTTCCACTTCAGGTATTTGGAGACGTTTGCATAGGGAAAATAGGTTATATGGTGCTATGAAAGCAAATATTTTGAAAGGATGTTAGGGAAGGAATATTTAGAGATATGAGGAACCACATTCTCCTAGTTTTGCTCAAGTGATAACAAGTTGGGCTCAGGTTTTTGGTTTGTGGTTGAACTTCCTAGTTAAGTTGATATGAAACGTGAGTGTCACGTGGTACAGCTAGAACCTGGCAGCTTGAGTTCCTATCAGATCTGTCAGGACATGTTTTGGCTCTGAGACTACTAGCTTGTGGACCTTTTTGGTCCTGATGGCATGAGGCTCAGGAATCCAGAGCACAAGAATGAGAGCAACTTTTGGCTTGGGTGATGGCTGGAGACCAGTGAGGGTAAGACCAGCCGCAGTCCTAGACAGAGGTAGCCCTCTCTGGCATATCCTTGGCAGGACATCTGAGCAGTCCTGAGTATCTCCACAGAGGTGGCCTTCTGAACTGTAGCAAGCAAGCGCAGAGTAGGCTAAGTTCCTGCTGGGCGTTCCCCCAGTGCGGTCATAATAATCCTAGTACCCCGTGTGTTAGATCTGACTTCTCCCATTTTCGTCTGGAACTGCCCCTGCCAAGTAGTAGAACTAATTGAAACCTACGCCTTTGGGTCTCTGCATTTAGTTTTAAGGCCCTTTCCTTACAGTTCTGCTGCTTCTCGGTTGGAGGAGGGCTCACAGGGTATTTGCCTACTGTTCTGAGTCAAGTTCCTCAAGACATTTGGACTTAGACAGCACCATAATTTGGCTCTGATCTGAGTGTCCTAAGAGGCTTCCCCTGTTGAAGTTAACCCGATGATAGTGCACAGAGGCAAGGGTTTGGAGGGATGAGGAGGAGATCGTCCTAGGGTGGAGTCGCAGTGATCAGATCCTCGTGGTTCATGAAAGAGGAGGTGAGATCAGCATATGTCCCAACTGTGTGTTCTCAGCTCCCCGTGTCTTGCCGTGTGCCTGCCACCCTGGGATTTTGCGACAAGTACCGCTGTAGAACTGACCCCTCTATTTCCTACCTCCAGACTGTGGCCAGAGCACCTCGTTCCTTGGTAACTTGTTAGTGCAGATGGGGAGATGACATTGATAAAGCAAACAGATACAAAGCAGTCGTCTCACGTGGAGACAAGCGTACTGGGAAGCTTTCAAAATCTAGTCCTTTTCAGTCGCAATCCAGTTGAGGAACAGGGTAGATTTCTGCGTGTTGCTGTAATGATGTCCCAGAGCATTAAGTGCTGGTTGAGTTCAGGGAAAAGCTATCACAGAACTGTGCCATTGCAGAATTAGATTGTAGAATAGGTGGCTCGCAGGGTCTTCTAGCGTGGTGTACTGGCAGACCATGGCCGACGTCAGGGATTCTTACAGCACCAGCATCCTGAAGCCAGCCATTGAGAGTGTTAACGCCATGAAGTCATCACATGCTCCTAAATAAGACAGAATTTCTCCCTTACTGCCTTGGTTGACTTGTCAGCATCCTGCTGGGTGTATGTTAAAGTCTGTGCATAGTCCTGTGCTTTGGAGATTCAAGAGTGAGCTGCTTTATCTTCCCTCCTAAAGAAAGAACTGCCAAGGTCTTCCTACTGCTACTGCTCCATAATCTTTGCCCATGACTTCTTCAACATCATGAAACTCTGCAGTGCCAGTACTTAACTCGGGTCTAACACACACACATGCACGCACACACGCGCACACACACACACATGCCAGCACACACTGGCCTCAAGGCCTCATGTGAGCACTGTCTACTGAGCTACATCCTCCAGTCCTCTTGAGTACTATGGTGAAACTCTTATTAGACATCTAACTCTCCTAACATCTTCTTTTCTCTCTTAACGGAGACCAGCAGTTACTTTTATTAGGGTCTATTCTTTTTTTTTTTTTTTTTTGGTTTTTCGAGTCAGGGTTTCTCTGTGGTTTTGGAGCCTGTCCTGGAACTAGCTCTTGTAGACCAGGCTGGTCTCGAACTCACAGAGATCCGCCTGCCTCTGCCTCCCGAGTGCTGGGATTAAAGGCGTGCGCCACCACCGCCCGGCTAGGGTCTATTCTTTTAACTGTTTTCTAAATACAATAATTCCCTAAGAGTTTATTACCTATGAACAGTTTTGAACTGTCTTGTCTCTGAAGGACTGAGGCCTCACTCTCTTCTGTACTGTAGTGTTACCATTGTTTGCCAGCTGTTTGTGTCTAGTTTTTCAAGTGTGCAATGTCTAGACATAGCCTTGTTTGTGTCTCCTTCCTTTAAATGGTGTCAAGTGCACAGTCTCCCGTTGCTCTCTGATTGTTTAAGACAGTTTCAGTCTTCTGGTTGTCTGCATCTTAACTGACCTCTAAGTATCAAACCTGCCCTTTATTGTCTCTGGATAACAAATCAATTATCAAGTCCCCACAGAGCCTAACAGCCTGCCCATCATTGTCCCACTACTACCCGGGAGCCACCTAGTTCAAAACCTTCACGTCCTTCCCTTGGATTTTTGCAAACTATTCTGTGTGGCTCCCATTCAGGTTTGGAATCTTATTTCCTTTCTCTGCACTCTTCCCATGCTTCCTAAACATGTCTCCTGCTTCCTGTCATTCTTCGTGGTTCGTTTCACACCATTTTCTGTAACCTTCTTTCTCTAAGGTCATGGTACTTCGTGTGTTTGTGTGACGCATGCATGTGAATGTACATGTGTATGTATTGCATATGAATGTACATGTGTATGTATTGCATATGAATGTACATGTGTATGTATTGCATGTGGAAACCAGATGAGGACATCGGACATCTGTCACTCTCCACCTTATTCCCGAGAGACAGGGTCTCTCACTGAACCCAAAGCTTGCTGTTTTGGCCAGTCTAGCGCCTGGGATCTGCTCCCCATGTTGGGTTATAGGCACGCTAGGCGGTGTTTCCTTACATGGGTGCTAGGATCTGGACTTGTGTCCTTTGCTTGCACAGGAAGTAATTTTACCAAACCACCAAACATCTCTGCAGCCCCCATGGTAAGATCTTTAAAGACAAGGTCTTACTATTGTGACCTTCAACTCTTGAGTTTTCTGTCTTTACTTCCCAAATGCCAGGATTGCAGGCACATACCCACCACATTCAGCTCTAAAGTTTCTATTGTCTCACTTAAATACTGTTATTAATAGACTTATTTATAGACTTATTTTGTCAGCTTAGAGAAAGGCTTTTGTCCTACTCAAATGTTTGGCAGAGTCCAAAAGGGCTTTATAAATTATAATCTTCAATAATTTCTTACTAAGCCTTTAGCTGTTGTAAACTTAGCTGACACCAACACGGAGCTTACAAACCTGGAAGTTAATTACTCATATTTGTTTATTTTCCTAAGATATTCAGAAATCCATGTATACGAGCAGAACAACAGTTAGAATCAGTTTTCCTGGGATGTCGGAAATAAGATTCTATTTCTTGACCTTAGATGAACCAACCCAGACCTCTCTGTCCCTGCAGTCCAGAATGCCAGTCACAGACCAGCAAATGCAGATGTCAACCCTGTGACCAAAAAAGATTATAAAATCAGGGTGGGCCACGCATTCAAAACAATGCTCAACGGTATGTTTCCGGACTCGGAGGTGTGACCCGTGCTATTATAACACCTGTTTTCAAACATTGTTGCTTTCTAAAATAGCCTTGACTAAGCGTTAAATTTTTAGTTAAACTTAATGATCACCTGATTGTGAGGTACAAAAAAAATGTGCAAAGATAATTTTACTAAAAGTAATTATTAACTTTGAGACCTAGGACTTTTAGTTTTATTGTCTTCACTGTCTGATGGATAGGCTTATTTTAGAACTGACTTGAAGAAACATTTCTCCCACTTGTTAAGTAGCAAGTATGAGCGTTCACATGTAACGGCTTCAAGTGTGTCCGACATGAGGGGTCTGACTCTCTTGCTGAGCGGTTGTTGACTGCATTAGGGAAGGTAGGAAATGCTGTAGGAAGGATGGGCGGATGTGCACATGTGTGTGTGTGTGTACGTGTGCGCGTGGGTGTACATATGTGCATGCTTGTGGGTATGTAAATTCTTGGTTTTACAAGAGAGGGTATTTCTGTGTAGACTAGGCTGGTCTCAAAATCTTAATTGTTTCTGCTTCAGCCTCCTGAGCAC